AACAGAGTATGTAGTACTAAAACAGAGCACACATTCAAATTGAGCATACACGGCATTTTCAAGCGATCAAAAAATTTCTTGCAATACTATAGTAATTATTTTGACAAATTGGACAAGAATTGCTATCAAAAACATCAAGAGTAAGCCACATTGTTTTCCCGACCTTAAGAGGTTCAACAATGGTGATTTGTTTGTTTCTTCACCAAATTGAGTCAAACAAGTCTCAAATTACTCCTAAGGCAATATATAAACATAATCAAGCAATTTCATGGCATAAAATTTGATAAACAAAGAGAATTAAGCAATTCTAATTTTGAATTTTCAAGAAATTCGTGAACAAATGCATGCGAAATTCATTAAAACCGACGTGAGTTTGGAGAAAACTTACATAGATCGGGAAAATAGAAGGAATAAGCTTTGATTTGCACAAATTTGAGTTAATTTGGTTGAGAAACGAGCAAGAACGAGTGAATTGAAGTTCTGAGAATTCTCGAGCAAGAAACGCGAACAACAGCAGTAGAAATGAAGAAGAGAAGGGTATTTAAGGAAAACCCGACTCTAGCGCCAAGAGTCAAACCTTGGCGTCAATCGATAAGGCTTAGCGCCTGGCGCTAGTTCCAGCGTCTGGCGCTACAGCCAGATAAGCGGCGCTAATGTTATTTTAGCGGCGCCAGACTGTTCAGCCACTCAGTACGGTTATTCCAACCTTTTGCAATATATTTTAGGCTCCTTGGTACGCCAGTTAGCCCCTCTAAGACATTTGACACGGTTTTAGTAATCGGCTTGATTACAATTACATAAAGTGATCGACCTGATGAAAGATTATCTCACTTAGCTTAAAGTGCCTAAGCATTGGCTCATCGCAAAAGGCACCGACATACTGGTTCATTCAGAAAGAAAACAACATACTGGTTCATTCAGCAAAAGGCACCGACATACAGGTTCAAAAGCAGCAGAAGCACCAACATACAGGCATAACGAAAGCAAAGTTCAAGCGAGCTTTTAAAGATCAACAAGTATGGGTCGTTGGTAATTTTCTTTGGAATATTATCACAATAAATGAAGGTAGCTTCAAGCGAGGATATCTTCGGCAGTGTTCCCTAGCTTGCGGAGAGTTGTCACAAACAACCAGAGGTGATTTCAAGCAAAGTTTTCTTCGATCGTGTTCCCTAAGATGTGGAAGATGGTCACAAAGCGGAAGAGGATCGTTTCAAGCGAAGCAATCTGTAGCAGGCTTGCGGAAGATTATTAAGGCGGAAATTGGAGGCAGTTACAAGTGTAGCAGTCTTCAAGCGGGATGGCGTTCTATAGCTTGTGGAAGGTCATCAAAAATACAAGAGTACAAAGATATAAAAAAGCAGCAACAAATCGGTTACCTTCAGAGACGTGTGTTTGACGGTGCAAGATACGCGTTTCTTAACTCTTTTATCTGTTTAACTAACGCTAGTTTGCAGGTATCGGCGTTACAAGAATGATTTAGGATCGCAAAACGTTCTGAGTCATTCTCCGTCCCTATCAATACTTTGACTTTTGTTTTCGAAACTTGCGTTTCTCCAAACTCAGTCAAAGTGGGAGCTTCTGTAGACACCCATTTGTGTCTCCCCAAAATCAAACCCGGTAATGTGTACCTTTCGCGTCGAATTGTAATCGAATAAAGTGAAAGTGTGGAGAGTCTAGTGTTGTGGATAATTTTAATTTCTTTTCTCCTCTCTCTGTTTTTGAAAACCTATTTTAAGAAAACAGTCAATCCAGTTTGGTTGGTCCATGATATGGGTCCAATAGTAGTTTAGTTGGATAGGGCTTGAAAAGAGCTTTCCAACGATATATTATAAGCCCAACTCCGATGAATATTGAGGAAGTTATGGCCAAATTACTAAACTGAGCCTGGTTTGAGCCTTATTTGCGGCCCAATGATCTAGAGGAGGGCCGAATATGGATTTATCATTCCTAATGCAATTAGGAATGATTTTAGTCTTCTAGATTCTTCTAGAAGGTTCTTTTCATTCCTAATTTGATTAGCATTGATAAATTGACTTTTGTTGACTTTTTAGAGTTTTAATCAGATTAAAAGAATGTTTTTGAGGAAAATACGCTTTTATCCTCCTGTACAGCTAATTTCTATCTGATTTTAGAAAGCGCGTCAATTATTTAATCAGCGCCAAACACCAGCATTAGCGACTGACGCTAAGCTTGGCGCCTAGCGCTAATGTCAGCGTCTAGCGCTAACCTCGTTTTTGCGCGTCAGAACTCTGTTTCGATTTTCGATCTTTTTGGCTTATTTTCTCTATAAATAGCCTTCTAAATACTCCATTTTCATTAACCAACTCTCATCAAGAAATTCTTGATTATTCTCTCTCTCTTTTCTAAACTAACCTTTTCTCAAAATACAAAATTCCGCGTTCCCAGGACCTAGACACACCTAGCCTTATTCGAAATTGCCTTCGCCCTAGACGTGAAAGGTTTTAATTTCTGAGGGTTTGGTCCCAAATCCCTTTTTCAATTATTTAATTTAATTCTTTGATTAGTATTTTCCTTGAAGTTACTAACGCGTGTATTTTGTTATTAGAAAGAGGTACGAGGCATCCAAGTAAGTATTTTAGTGGTTTTTATTGATGTTAGAAATCATGCTTAGGTTGTTATTATGATTCCTAAGTTCAGTGGTCTCTAGCCAAGTAGCAGTGACCTGTTATGTTAGGGCGTTTTGATCTTCCTAGTATCATGTCTAGGGTAACTTTAATATCAAGTATGATTAAAAGTATGATGCCTTCTATATTCTTTCCTAATATTCATGTTAGTATCATGTTAGGGCTAAAGCTTTGATTTTTGATGTTTAGTGACATGCTAGGGTTTGTTATTAATCTTATTAGTATCATGCCTAGGATCTTGCTATTATTAAGCTTTAACAAGATTATTTTAATTATGATTATGATTATGATTATTAGTTATGATGATTATTATTATGTTGCTTGATTTTTATTTTTATTGCTTGATCACACCTTTTATGAATGTTTAAAGGGAATTTGTACTTGTAATCACGCTTAATAAGATAATTAATAATCTTGTTTAGGGTTAATTTGATTATAATTCAAGTGATCGCCAATAATAGGTTTGTTTGTGCATTAATATTCAACCAACATAGATAAACAGGTTTAGGGTCGTTAATCCTATTGATTGCATGTTAGTCAGAAAGCGCAAATGAATACGATCAGAATAAAGTAGAGGCCTATTATTAGGGCAGGTTCAATCTCTTTTAGGTTGGATTTGTACCTTCATCCCCGAACTACCAGTCATGGTTCCACCCCTATTGGAGTTGACGATCTTCAGGATCGTTAAGGGGTGTAACCTTCGCCTCGTGAACGGTTTACAAGTTCCTAAAACTTGTTGGCGACTCTTTTTCTCTATCTTCTTTCCCTTTGGACGCCACCGTACTTTATTGTATGATCACAGTGGGGTTCAAGCTAGGGGTAATGCTTGAAATATTCTCTACATCAGCGCCATCCAAAAAATCATTACTAGGTCCCACATTGTACTCATATCAGTTATTTACTGGATTAAAAAAGAAAAAAATGAAAAATAAAAAAGAAAAGCCTTAAATCTTAACTCGGCCACCACCTTCACCACCGGTGCCGATTCGCCTTGGCCCAGCGTCGTCAACCCAACCCATCCTGCCCGCTCCTCTTAGTTGACCAACGAAGCTAGGCTCCTAGTCGATCACCTGAACAACCAGCCTCAGCCTCAGTCCTGATTCGATTTTGTTTGGGTATGGGTTAGGGTTCCTATCACGGTGACAGTGAGGGAGGGTGAGAGATGTAAAGCGGTATTTGGATGTGGGTGGAGTGTTGGCGATGGATTTGGGTAAAGGAGGGGACTTCGACGATGTTGTGAGGTAGGTGATGGTGGCGTGATGTTGCGGTGGTAGGAGAGTTCTGACTCCTTGTGTTGCGCCGAGGGGTGGTTTTCGGGGAGTGGGAAGGCAAGAATGGGTGGTGGGGTTGGTTTTTTTCGGTTTTGGTTGGGGGCTGGGGGTGCCAACGGCTGACGACCTAGGCTAGAGTGTCGACGGATGGGGCAGGTGAATCCGGCGATGGAGCAGGTGGCTCAAGCAGTGGGGCTGGCTGGATTAGGGGATAGATTGTGTTTTAATTTTTTTTTCTTTTTTTTTATTTAATTTTTTAAACTAGTTGATTATTGACACGTGTCAATTATGGGCCCCACTTAACGGTTTTTTGGATGGAAAAGTTAAGTAGTAGTGAAATCAAATTTTTAAGTTTTTTTATGGTGTTATAATAAAAACTTTATTTATGTGGTGTTATAATCAAAATTTGGGTTTTTCTTTTTTGTGATGTTATTTTCTAAAATTTCTTTTTAGCTATTCTTTATAAACAACAACTAAAATTATCAACAAAGCTCCAAACTTAGCGAGGGCACTAGACTCATGCTAATTAATTTTAATTTAGTCCATTAGCTTTAAATATGAAGAAAAGTTTATGCTAATAATAAATTTATTACCATAAATAATATTATTAATAATCCAAAATAAAATAAATCGAGCTTGTTCACGAGTTTTCTAGCCGAGCCAAGGAAAGCTCAAGCTTGGCTCGTTAAGATCTCAAAGCGAATTCGAGTTTGAGTCGAGTTCACTCAAGTCGAGCCTGTACCAAGCTTTGATCGAGTTGAGTCTCGAACGGTTCACGAGGATGCTCAGCTAGTTGACACTTATACTTGGGACTTGGGAGTAAGTAGGATTTTGATTACCTTCTTTCACACCTAAAAAATTATCTATATATGACACCATTTTTGTGATCATCATTATGTTATAAAAATTAATAAAAGCCCATTGTGATCAATATTTGACCACGTAATAATGACTGTGCCCGCCACACTTTAATCTCTCAAATTCTTTATTCTTATCCTACATTCCGATTATAATTTATAATAATCATCATCATTTCCCTGGCAAGCCCACCACTTGTTTTTCTTATCCAATTTAATTCTAATCCGGTGTGCTTTGAAAAAGTCTTTACTTTTGCATTTTCTTATAATTTTATGCTAATACAGGAAAAAGTCTTTACTTTTACACACTAACCTTCCTTTTATATTACCTCATTTCCTTAAATTTGTTCATACATCTTCATCCAACACCTAAATCATACCGCCTTTTTATTTCTTAGCATCCAACTTTAAACCAACTCTTGTTTTTATTTCTTCAACTAAACCCACTTTTTATTTTTGTTTTCTTCTCCTTTAAAACCCACTCAAAAATTTAAATTAAATCACCAAAAACAAAGATCCAAACAAAATCAAAGTTTAACAAATTCAATAATGAAGAGCAAAACTCCTCAAAATAAGTTCATGAAAATTATAACAATCCCTATTAGAGCTCTAGCAAAAGCTAGAGACTTTTACGTCCGAAGCATGAACAACTACGCGGATAGAGCATGCTATGGTGGAGCTTCAACATTTGCCGATCCATTACCGAGAAGTTTTAGCTCGAACTCGACTCGATCACGAGATAACGATGACTTCATAGAGCTTGTACGTGCCGCATCAACAAGTAGGCTAGGGAATAGGATTAATCTAAACACTACATCAACACGTACACTTTCGTCGTCTAATCACGCTACAAACACGGACAATAATAGATTTAAGGCTAGAGATAATTTCAACAATTTGAAGGGTGTTCCAAGGAGTGCAAGCGTTGGTATGGCGAAAATCGAAGAAGATAAGCCTATTGAATTTGATGATAGATTTGATGGTGGTAATAATGTTGGTGTAAATAAAGGTGGTAATAAGAAAAATAACAAATTTGGAATTTTTCCTAGGAGTAGGAGTTACGCTGTTGGTTCTACGACGGGGTCTTCTGCTGTGTTTTGAGAAGATTAATGTGTAATTTTCTTGAAGTTTTTGTTTTATTTAGCTTTGTTTTTAAGAATTAATATTTTTTCGGATCATGGAAAATGTGGTCCTGTTTCTCTGTAAATAGCTTAATGTTATGATCTGAAGAGTGTTTTATATTTTAGGAAATTTTGACTTTTGCTACCTGTCAAACAGGTCGAATCTACTTTTGCTACCCATCAAAACTTTTATTTTATTTTACTACCTAACATATGCTCTTTTTAAAAATTTTGCTACCACTTAACGAATCCGTTAATAATTCCGTTAAGTTTTTTTTTTTAAATAATTATAAATTAAAAATAAAAAATAAACCACCCACCCCTCCCCTCAACTACCACCCCTTCCCTCCCCCCTGCCGGTGGCCGGTGCCTAGAGATTCGGCCGGCGCCGGCGCGAACCCACCCCCCTCCTTTTCCCCCACCCCTACGCTGCCAACCGAACCCACCCCCCTTCCCTTTCCCCGTTCTCGCAACAAAATCAGCCACCACGCGCAGCTCCTCTCCAAATACCAGCCCACAACCGCAACCCCTGCAGCCACCTCCTCACTCAACCCGCACAAAATCAATTCCCAACCACCGATACTCAAACCACCAATCGCTGCCACCCATATCAATTCCCGAAATCAGAGCAAATCGCAGATCCATCGAACCTCGTCTAGAAATCAATTTAGGTTTGCCGAAAAAGTTGCGGTGTGGTGGTTTAGGGGTTAGGGTGGCCGAAAAGGTTAAGGCGGGTCGATTCGTTAGGGTTTGGAGCAAAGTGTTGCAGAAGAGTGGTGGTAGTGGTGGTGGTTGCGGCGATTCGGATCTTTGATTGTGGTTTCGGTGTGGTGGCTAGGGTCGGGGCAGCAGGGGAAAAGGGAGGGGGTTGGGTTGCGTTTGTGGGGGGAAAGGGGTGGGATGGGTTTTCCGGTCGCCGGTCGGGGGAGGGAGCTGGGTGGCTAACGGGAGGGGGCAAGGTTGGTTTCTTGGGTGGTTGATTTAATTTTGGTGGCTGACAGGGAGGCTTGTACGGTGGCAAAGGAGGGAGTGGTGGTCGGAAAGTGGTAATGAAGGTGGTAACGAAATTATAAACGGATTCCGTTCAATGGTAGCAAAATTTAAAAAAAGGGCATATGTTAGGTAGTAAAATAAAATAAAAGTTTTGATGGGTAGCAAAAGTGGATTCGACCTGTTTGACAGGTAGCAAAAGTCAAAATTTCCTATATTTTATTGCGACAAGAGTTAGAAATGATTTCTAGTTTTTTTTATAACATCAATATAAGTTATTACCTTATAGTAGCGTTAATAAATAAAAATAAAAATTACTTTTTTAGTAACTACAAATTCTTAAATGGACCTGGTTCAACATTCATTTATTATGGACCATCAATATTAGACTCAATATGATTGTTTTATTAATAAAAAAAAAATTACTATATTAAAATAAAAGGTTATTATGTTGAAATAAAAGTTAGTGTCACATTAGAAAAGCTATAAGAAGTTTTTTTTTAATGAAATTTTTAATATAATGGTCAATAAGAAGAATAATTATCACTATGTTAAAATTAGGTCACTATTCAACATAATGTCATACTTTAAATACATAATAATATTAAAGGTCACACAAGTTTTAAAAAAGGTAACTATGTTAGAAAAAAGTTTACCATATTAAAATTAGGGGTCACTATGTTGAATATAATGCGAGCTACATATGTATAAACGTTATGTTGACAATAATATTATTGTAAACCAGGTCTACGCAAGTCTTTCTATTGCATGGACTACTTCTATGCAATTTTGGATAGAGAAAGAGGTGTAAGTGATGAGGAGAAAAATAGGAATATATGTGATGGAGAGACAGATAGAGAAATCGACCATAAAAATGAAAGATAATATTTGTTAAAATAATATGAAACGTTCGTTTTTGGTAAAGTAGTATAAACTAATGGAATTTATTAACTTTTATCATATTACTTAGTAAGAGTTGGTTCACTTCAGCTTAATTTCAGTTCAATTCAGTTCAGTTTAGCTCCAATCATTTCAGTTCAGCTTCTAATTTTCTTCTTTCATAAAATATTCATTTTAGCTCAACTCAATTCAGTACAGTTCAGCTCCAATCAGTTTATTCAGTTCAGTTCAACTCGGTTCGGTGAACTTTCCCTTACTCTTATTTTCTCTTTTTATTTTTGTTTAAAAAAAAAAAACTTTCTGTTAAACTTAAATGAATTGCCAACTTACCAAACACACTTCAAAATACTAACCGCTACTAAAACGCTACCACGAACAAACGGGGGCTAAGTGAAATTGTAATGAGGTGGAAAGGGCTTAAATGTTTAGAACTAATCATTTTAAGTGACCAATATAATTGTCAGAGTTTTCCTTTTACTCCATATAAATTTAGAACTTTAGTTGACCAGTTTTAATATGGATATCAAGCTATGGGTGTTTTGTTTTTTGATTTATTTTTTTCCAAAATAATGTGTTCAAGCTCACTATCATTGCAAACGGATTATTAGTCAATACCATATTTATAATCTACAATCAATCAATCAATAACTTAATACTAAAACATACACCGGGAGTGAAATGTGTCACATCCTAATGTTGTTTTTTTCCTCCAAAATTCTACTTTCCTTTTTTTTTTTTTTTGAGAAACAACAATAATAATATCATTCTAGATTTTTTATATTATCTTTAATGACAAAAATATTTCTTTTTATTTGGTGTTCAGAATTTTTCCATACACATTTACCTAAAATATTATTCTATCTTTTTTTAAAATTATTTGATAAACATATTAATATTAGAATTTTCCAAAAAAAAAAAAAACTTTTTAATAAAATTAATTCAAATTATCTATAAATATAAATAAAGTAACAACCGCTTATGTCATTACTTTCCACATGTCAACTTCTTGTAAAAAAATTTCCCTCCAAAACTAATAATGACATCATTAATTTTTTTATCAACATAAATAAAAATTTGAAATTTCTAAATTAATTATATATTTTTCTAATAGATTTTATATTTGAATTGACTAATTATGCAATTTCCATTGGAGAATTAAAGGAAGGTCGGAGTATTTCATTTTCTTATAAACATTACGGAGTATCTTTTTCTCCTACTCCATATATTTTATACAGATTATATGAATTGGGGTGTCCACTCTTTATTAATTTATCAATTTATTAGATTTTTCTTAAATTATTTCTACTACGTACATATTACACACAAATAAGCTAAAAGATATTGTTAAAATCATAAATTATTGTTAAACTCGTGCATCGCACGAGCCTAATCTAGTTATTATTAAATAAATTACTTTAAAGTGTCGTCACTTTTATTTGTTAGATATAGTTTTTTTTAGAGAAAAAAATATTACTTGCCGTGCGTATAGCACAGGGCCTAAGCTAATTTCGTAAATAAAAAGAAAATTGATACCAATTTATCATTGAATTTTTAAAACATTGGTCTAACATATAGTTTTAATATACTCATTTTGACTCTTTCGCTGTATTTCATATTTCATTTCATTATATACACAATATTAGAAGATGATAAATATGTTTTTGTTTTTTTTGTGCTTAGGGGAGCCACAAGGGTGAATGATGATAATCGATTCTAGGATAAAATCGGAAGGGGAACTCTAACCACTTGAGCTATACCTCACTCTCAAAATATAATAAGTATGTTATAGTTATGTTTTATTTATTTTATTTTTAATACAATTTTATTTTTAATAACCTTGCATAACATGAGATCTAATTAGTCTATTAACTATTACTAAAACAGAAGTTGCTGACATCACCATTGTCCACGTGTCACTTTCTCAATAAAAAAATTTCCCGCCTAAATGCAAAGATGATGTCATCTTTCAATTTTTTTTTTTTTGGAAAGCTATCATATTTAACATTTTTGACATTTAATTAAATATTGGAAGCTTCTACATTACAACTAAAATACATTAATTATTGTAGATTATTGAAACAATTTTAAATAGCACACTAATAAATGACTTTTTACATTGAACTATGAATTAGACAACGTTGAACAGATAATATATCATAATTTAAAATAAAAAATTTTAAAATTACAAAATATACGTAATTCTTATTTATATTCATATATAATAGCGATTTATTTTTAAATTTAAAATAGACTTTATATAAACCGTGCATCGCACGAGATTCTAACCTAATTAATACTAAAATAATTACTGCTCATATCATCTTTTTAAAAAATTGTACACGTGTCATCTTCTCCTTAAATTTTTTCCCGCCTAAACTCATTTTTTTTTCTCTTCCGATTTTCTATATTTATTTTATTTGTTATTAATTTTTATATATTTTCGAAAGCTAAATATTTTATCTACGTTCAAGAACATTGACCCTAGAGCCGTCGAAGGAAGCTGTTTGACGAATTTAGAGAAATAAATTATAATCACGCGTTATTCATTTAATAAAATGATGTTCATATTGACCTAGCAGCTAGGATAGGATTAGGATAGTATTCAACAATGTGGAACCGCAACATTGTGAGTTTGGACGGTTTTTATATGATTGATGAGTTGTAATTTGTTTGAACTAGTCACATGTTTGCATAGTACTGGACTAACTTGATTGACGGGATCTATTTGTAAAACTCACCCCCAAGGCCCCAACAACTATAATTACTCCGTACTCCATTGGGCCAATTTGATATACTATTTTAAATAATTTTTTTTTAATATTTCATAAATAATATTCATTTGTTGTAAATAATAAGAATTAGAGGTAGTAATAATTTTGTCAAATAAATCAATTCGGATATTTAGGTCGGGTCCGATGAGGTCAGGTTAAATGTATTTCAAAGTTGAATCATGTTATATCGTTGTGTGCATGCGACTCGAAATTTGAATTGTGTTTATTTCAGTCAAATCATGTCGGAGAGGTCGGTTCATATATTGACACCTCTAAGGGCCTGTTGACATTTACTGGAAAGAGTTGAACTAAACAAAACTGATTGGAGCTGAGCTGAACTGAACAAAACTGAACTGATTGGAGCTGAATTAAGTTGAAATGAACTGAACTGAGCTAAAATGAATATTTTATAAGAGATGGAAATTAGAAGCTAAACTGAATTGAAATGATTGGAGCTGAACTGAACTGATTAGAGCTGAACTACTGAACTGAATTGAAATTAAG